ATGGCTCCTCGGTCTCCGTCTCAGGCCGTGTGTCCCTGGTGGGGTCCCACCCGCTCGCCGGGAAGACGTGCAGGTGGCCTCGTGGGCTCCTGGGAGCAGGGAGCGTCCTTGCCCTGCCTGCGTGCAGGGGCTGCCTCCCAGCGTGGGGTCCTGCGCGGAGAGGGTGTCCGCCTCTCGAGAGGGAGGAGTGCGGTGCAGCCTTTCTGGGTAACTGCGCTTTCAGCCGGTGGTTTTCTCTTCTTTTCGTTGACCCTCCCCTGAGGATATGTTTCCATTGATTTTTTTAAAATATGTATTTTTATTGATTTCAGAGAGGAAGGGAGAGGGAGGTAGAGAATCATGGATCGGCGCCTCCTGCACACCCCCTACTGGGGATTGAGCCCACGCATGTGCCCTTGACCAGAATCGACCCCGGGACCCTTCAGTCCGCAGGCCGTCGCTCTATCCACTCAGCCCCCCGGCCAGGCCTGTGGTCTTTTCTTCACTGTGAGCTGCCATGTGGTGCAGAAGCCACGTCCGTGGCCTGTTGTACTTCACACACTCAAGAGTGAAAGGGTGAACAGCAAAGGGCGTGGAGGTCTCGGGAAAGCAGTTCCGACCTTGCAGACCCTCGGCCCCTGCGTGGAGGGCCCGCTGCGTTCGAGCTGCTCCCCAGGGTCTGCACCTGGGCCTCGGGGGCCTCCTGGCTGCAGGTCCGGGGCAGCTCAGGCCCGGTCCCCACCTTCACGCTGGCGTTATTTTGATTCTGGAAGCTCACAACCACTCGTGGGTGGTCCAATTGTCCTCCTTTGAGAGACAGGGGTGGAGAGCTGCTCAAGGTCACATGCAGCCCCTACTCCCAGGACAGCTGGGCACCACGGGCTCCCTCTCCCAGAGCCCTCTGCTCAGGCACCTGTGATGCGCTGGCCGAAAGGGCTGTTGAAGGCCTAGAGACTGGCCCGAGGTTCCTGGGTCCGCAAACTGTCACAGGAAAGAAAGATACACTGGGGCCTGGAGGGAGGAGGGGGCTGAGGGTGCGTGAACCAGTGCGGCTCTGGGGATGGTCAGGATTGGGCATTGTCTGGGCCCCACCCAGGGGAGCAGGTGTGAGGCTGGAGGACCAGGTGTGAGGCTCGTCCGGGATGAGATGGTGATGGGCCTGGAGGTCTGGAGGGGGAGGTGTGTGAGCTCACACTGCACTGGGCCAGAGACGCGGCTCTGACCAGGGGTTGGGGCTGTCGCTGGCCGGGGGCGGGGCAGGGGCGGGAGTGGGTCCTGGGAAGTCCTTCCTCTCCCCCCAGCGCCCCGCTCACCTTCAAGGATGGCACGGCCCTGGCCCTGAGCTGCATGGCTGACTACGGGGCCCCCGTCTTCCCTTTTCTCGCCGTGGGGGGCTACGAAGGTAAGTGGGTCACCTGGGGAGGTGAGGAGGGTGGCGTGGGGGTGTGACTGCCGTGGGAGCTGGGTGGGGGGTAGACCCGCCGCCCTCCACCTCCTCCACCTTCTCCCAGCGCCGCTCAGAGGCTCCGGCTGAGAGGGAAGTGGGTGCGGGTTGGACAGTGACTCCGAGAGAAGGTGGGGGCGGGCAGGTGAGCTGGAGGGGGCTGAGCTCGTCTCCTCCCAGGGAACGACTACTCGGCGGCCGAGGCCCTGATCCTGACCTTCTCCCTCAACAACTACCCTCCCGGCGACCCCCGGCTGGCCCAGGCCCGGCTCTGGGAGGGGGCCTTCCTGGAGGAGGTGCGTGCCTTCCAGCGGCAGATGGCCGGCACGCTCCAGGTCACCTTCATGGCGG